GTACACGTTTTTTAAAATGACTTGTATACATACAGAATTATTATTTTTCCTTTTGGTGATAACCTTCCAAACTGGTCATATTTTGCTTTATTTTTGGTAGCTTGCTGCTATAAAAGAATCGAATGCCTCGGAAATTTATTCAGATTTATTTAAAATTTTGAATATTAAACAAGTGAAAACTTCTCTTATCAATTAAAATGGCGAAAGTTATGGTAATAGCCAAATGGCATTCAACATTATTCCATTATTCAACTATTGGTTTTGTGTGTTACTTTTTTTTTTAGATAACCTTCCTCGCTGTTTGCGTTGCTTTGGCTATGGCCAATCCAGCTGGATATGGTGGCTCTGGCGGATTTGGTGGGCAAGGTGGTTTTGGCAGCGATAGTGGATATGGCCACCAAGGAGGATCTCATGGCCAGAGCGGATTTGGCGGTCAAGGTGGACATGGTGGACAACAAGGTGGTTTTGGCCAAGAAGGAGGATCATTTGGCGGTGGACAGGCTGGATTTGGCGGTCAAGGTGGACGTAGTGGACACCAAGGTGGTGTTGGCCAAGAAGGTGGATCATTTGGCGGTGGACAGGCTGGATTTGGCGGTCAAGGTGGATATGGCGGTCAAAGTGGATATGGCGGTCAAGGTGGACATGGCGGTTTGAGTGGTAGCCATGGCGGACACCAAGGCGGTTATGGTGGTGGACAGCACGGTGGTCACTATTAAGTTTGAATGTTGTACATATGTACATACATACATGTAAAAGTATTGAACATTTGTGCACATACATATATACTTAAATATGTATAAACATTTACCCTACATACATGCATCTGTGAATAAATTTAAGACCTAAATGCGAACTGGCCTTCATATTTAGTTAATTAAGTGTAAGTTAGTAACACATATAATAGCAGGAGTAACGGTATAAGAATATAACGCCCCGCCCGGTTTTTCAGGTGTTCAGCGATTTTCACGTTTTCGACGTGTGCGGAAAGATATGTCTTTGGAAAATGTGGGTTCTGTCACCAAAGAGAATCCTCTGTATTTATACCTCTTTGATCAGACCCATAATCAGCTATGAGTCAGTGGTATGGTAGAACAGACTCTCAATCTATAGCGTGGCAAATCTTGTTGCTAAACTTCAAAGAACGATTGCCGTGTGCTGTACGGCAGCTTTCTCTACAAACACCTAGCGCTTCTCTTGACGCACTACTGCAATTGTGTCTACATACGTGGCGAAGCCTTAAAGGCAACCAGCATCTGAGCCCCTGTGTCTTTTCAATGCCACAGGATAGTACGCCACCATTACCTTTGTTGAAGAGATGCGATAATAATGGAGTACCCTGCGGCTGAATGCTGGTTTATTACCAGCACTGGAAAACAAAAATTCCCGCCAAATATTTTCAATAGTCAAATACACCGATCAGCTGATTACTTGCTATTAGGTTTGTTCGTCGAAAATCCAGCAAGAATTATCCAACACTCAAAATATCAGAGAGTAAGAAAAAATTCTCTCAAATTCTCTGTCATGTTGAGAAACTTGCAAATTTCTGCACGAACGCAAATTTGCAGGAATTTGCAAGTTTCGCTGCCAGCTGGCGTCCACGGTTGCATTTCAAACATAAAAAATTTTTATATAATTTTTAAAATTCTTTCGGATGGCCAAAAACAGGATATACATGTATATTTCTTGTTGTTCTGACTTTCTTTAACATACATTTCAATTTCTTCATCGTACTAGCTGTCGGGTTTCTTAAATCGACTCTGGTTGCAATTGCATT